TTAACCTCCAACTCAAAGCAAGGCTACTGCCAGCACTAGATTGGGATAACTGTGCCTTCATCTAGCAGTCCTGAAACCTCCAAGGAGAGTTCTGTAGCCTCCCTGGGTAACCTGCCCCTACTGTGTTACCCTCCACGTGGCCAAGTTTTCCCTCATGTCCAATCTGAATCTTCCAAGCCATAACTAGTGGCCATTATCCTTTGCTGTACTACCTGTCACTACCGAAAACAGTTTGGTTCTGTAACCTTCAAGTAGCTGTCAGCTACTATTACAATCACCCCTTAGCCACTTTACCAGACTAAATGTGCCCAGCTCCCACAACCTCTCACTGCCCATCATGGGATTTAGGGTCTCATTGATCTTGGAAGCCCTCTGCTGGGCCCTTTCCAGTTTTTCAGTATCCCTTAAACTGTGAAGCCCCAAACTGGACACAACAGCTCAGGTTTGGACCCAACCGTGCCACACAGAAGAAAACTTCCCTTGATCTATTTTTTATATTGCTCCTAAAAACACAGTATGTAGTTCGCCTTACTAGAGTGAAAAGTTTCCTTTAGTTATATATATTTTAGTAAATACCAGTGAAATATGCTATAACACAGAACTGACAACTACCTGAAGTTCCGGATAGGTAGCTGTTTTCAAATTAAAGGCAGTCTCCCTTATTATTCCTTCAAATCTAATCTACATGTGCTATAGTATCAACAAAAAAAAAAAAGTAAGTCTGTGCGTGATCAGATTTCTTTTGTACTCAGAGATCTGAGCTCAACAGTAATACCGTATTTTTGTTAAAACCCTTTAAAAGCCAGGGGATAGGGCGAGATCTTGCACAGTTAGGCTGTCCTACACACAGATCCTTCTGCAAAAAGATAGCTTGTGACTCACCACAGCCTTCCAATATCAAAAGATACTTAGCTATGTATCTTTACTCAGAATTAAATCAAAGCCTTTCAAATGAACTAGCCTAACAAAGTAATTTAACAAATGCAAGTCCAAACGGAAATTAAAAAAACATTTATAGGTTTTATGTAAGGAAAAAAGCAGAAAAAGAACAAGGTCACAATTATAAGAAAATCACTCAAAACCTGAAAGTATGTAAAGGAAAAGATCTGGATGCCTTCTGCAGAATAAAAACAACCTGATGCTAATTTGTAATCTTTTTTCCAAAAATATCATTTTGGAACTGTTGTCCTATGATACAGTTGACGTATAGCAACATGAATTTTCATTCAGTTATCTTGCCCCTGTCACTACTAGAAGTGGCCAAAGAATTCAGAAGGATTCTTTCTTGATTACAATTTCGTCCTTTGTCACATCCAAAACATTTTGTAGAGACTGACTTCACAACTTGCTTCTAGTAGATCCAGTTGGGCTTCTGAAGGAACCCTGATCTTTCCTTATCAGCTCATCTATTCAGTTTTGCAGTGGCCTGCTTGCATACAAACCTGTACATATATGCATAAAATTGTCCAATAAATTAGATCTATCTAACCTATTAGAAGGTGGTGAAAACCATGGTAATCTTTTTCTTTGTGAGAACACTTCTATCAAAACGAACGACAGATAACTGATTCTGATACACGATGAACTAAATCTTGAAAAAAGACCTACAAGACATGCATAGGACACTACCCTTCATATTTACATTGCTTTAAAAACACTCAGCACGTTATAAGAGAGCAATTAAACATTAAGAAAAGCAAATAAAATATATTGATTTTAATAAGTGGTAAGGAACCTATCAACAGTCTCCTCTTAAGAAACTGTGTGTGTAGTTCTCATAACTGTTCCAACACTGAATATCTAACTAAATGCAAAATACACAAGTCATACAGAGAAAAAAATGAAAAGAACACCCATGGAAAGTGAAGAGAGCAGAAGAAAAAAAATGGACAGTAAAACGTAACTATGGTGCAAGCTACAGCAGATTCAGAAACAAGGTAAATACTTTTTACGCATTTCTATACCAATAGTTTTGGGTATAATGACAAAGAGCTGTATTTGAAAATGACTTTATTTACTTTGATATTTTTACTAGACCTCAATGGGTATACTAGCTTCTGATAGCTTCACGTAATCTTCCATGTGAATCCTCTAAATTGAGTATTAAAAATATTCTCATTTATATCTGAAGAAATTCAAACTTTACATTTTTTAATGTATACTTTGTTTTTTGGGTTCTCTGCAATATGAAAGAAATAGAGAAATGTAGAGTCCGTCATCATGTGAAACACCCAACATTAATCCAGTAGATCATGCAGCCACTTGAGCAGTGACAAGGTGTCAACAGACTTTATTAATATGAATGAATTATGACACTACAGAAACTGATGATACACAGTATGCAAGACCATGAATACTTGAATCCAATAGAATTTAGTCTAAATTAGATTTGTTAGCTGTCAGGCATCATTACATAGTATTAATTTTTTTTTTTCCATTACCAAACCATTGCAAAGATGCACACAGAGATAAAAAAAGTCACTTGAGATGTCTGTGTGGATACGTGTTATATCTATAAAGCAGCCTTACGGAAAAACTGCTAAGCTAGTTACAAATTTTCCTTACAATCTGGTGACAGCTCTATTAAATACCACAAGCGCTCATAACACTTTCAACTGATAAACACAGACTAGCCTAGAGAAACATTAATTTTTCAAAGTTTGGTTGTTTTTGTTACTATGGTAAGGTAGATATCATTAACGTAAGAGGTAAATAGTTTTTTTCTTTTTTAAATGAATTATGAAGACTAGTAAATAGTCTTTCCTTTAAAATGTATTCCATGGTCAATCTCCTGGCAGGTTTAAGAGAGTGGAATATGATACTTTTTCTTGTATCAAGAACAGTTCTAAATTAACTCCTTTTTGAGCACTGTACTGTTAAGTCTTAATTTTCTCCATAAATAGTATCACAATTACATTCCCCTGCAGATCACACACAGAATTTTGATGCTAATATCACAGAAACACATAAGTTGGAAAAGACCTATAGAAGTCATCTAGCCTGAACTCCTGCTCAAAGTGGGTCAAACTAGAGCAGGTGGCTCAAGGCCTTGTCCAGCCCAGTTCTGAGAGATTCCAAAGACGCAGACTCCACCACCTCTCTGGGCAACCCATGCCAGAGTTTTACCATCCTCAGGGTGAAAAGTTTCTTAAATCTAATCAGAGTTTCCCATGTTGCAACTTGCCCCATTGCCTCTTGTCTTTTCACTGTGCACCTCCAAGAAGAGTCTAGCTCCATCTTCTCACTACCCTTCCGCTAAGTAGTTGAAGACAGCACTAAGATCTTACCTTTGTTTCTCTTATGCCGAATAAACCCAGTTCTCTCAGCTTCTGCTCTGAAATTATGTACTCCAGCCTCTACACATTTTGAGGGGCACTCTGGTGGGCTTGTTCTAGTAAGTCATTGTCTTTTTTTGTGCTGCGGAAACCAAAACTGAGCACAGTGCTCCACATGCGGTCTCACAAATACTGAACGGAGGGAGAGCATAATCACTTCCTTTGACCTCCTGGCCACACTCTTGTTACTAGTCTGCTATGTCGTTGGCTGCCTTTGCCACAAGACTACACTATAAACTCACATAAATACATTAAAAATGACTGAAAGTTCTTATCCATAAACACATTTCATCCCATATAGGTACTTAAAAGGACTCAAGAGACATTTTAGATCTAACTGTAGAGCCATACTCTGCCTTTACTTCTTAGTGCTGTACATGCATGTAAAATTAATGGATGGACTTCTTATGAGCTCCCTCAGGCTCAGAACTTCCTTGTGGGACTCTGATGTACAGAGGAAGCAGCTGGGTTTTGAATAGGCACACAAAAGTCTCTCTTTCCAAGTGCTGGTAACCTTTGTTCCCTTTCCATCAATTGTCCATACGCATATTCATGTGACATTTAACTCCAAGCAGTGCCTCCCAAACTCCATAGGTTGCCTGCAGAAGTGTCCTTAAGAAACAGATTGCTCTGCTGAAACATGATTATGTGTAAGCCTCTGCAACAGCATAATGCATAGTGAAAATTTAGAAAGAACTGTTGGCAGTCCCTCTCAGAAGTCAAACACAGAAATTTCTTCAGGAAATACCACAGGCTAATAGAATTATATAATAATCTGGGCACATTCTACCTGGTAATTCCCCATTAACATCCTCATAGCAGGCCAAATACAGTCTGCTACTCTGCAGTCATCTATGTTAAGGCAGCCTTGCCTGCAGACAAAGAGATTGGGAGTCTTCCTGAAGGGCTGTTCCCTGGACATATGGGATCAAATTCGAACGTAATTCGAGGACTAGCAAGTTTTAGAGCATGACAGACTGTGTAAGGGGAAGGTTGACTTTTCACAAGTCACCTTGTTTGGGGATCTTTCTTGTTTTACGATTTACAAGTGTCCTTCTTCCCTACCCCTGCGCCTCAAAGACAAGACTGGAGGTGAAAAGTTGTAGAAAGAACCTTAAAGCGGTCTTGGAGAGGCCAAAACTCTGAGATAAAAGAGTTAATCTCATCATTCCAGCTTACACTTTAACACAATTCATACATACAATTCCCCCCAGGTTAAGTAATCTAATATTTATTCTATGTAAGAGATGCCCCCTTGGCTGCAAGTCACGGCCCACTCAATGAGTTTAGGGAATGCCATAGCATTCATTTATACAGCTTGTGTCTCTTAATGTTACAAACTAAAACCAAACCAAAACAAAAATTGAAAGAAAAAAACACACTAAAGTGTTTATAATCTGTTAGATCAATGATCTGCTAACTTCAATTCTAAATATATCAATGTAACTCAAGTGGAACGGAAAAAACGAAGATTTTTGTATACTCCCATTAGATTAGAAATGCAGGCACTGCGTTAAATCAAGTTGAATTAGATACAGGACATTGCTTTAAAACTTCTACAAAACATAAGACAGACGTTTTCTTAAAAAGCAAGCAAGCATGGAAATGGTTAACATAACAAAAACCCAGAAAACATCTGCTTAGGATTTACTTATTCCCTCTTACCTTCTGTGCTTAATCCAGGACTTGAAGTGAATTTTGCTACATCGACAATCTTTACAGCAAACTGTTGCCCTGTTTCCCTGTTGATACATCGCCGCACAACGCTGAATGGACCCCTGAAATACACACAGACAAAAATCAGCAATAAATAATCCATTCTTTCCATTGTTTCTAAATGAACCACAGAATCCAACATATCATTCAATTATAGTATTTATATAGGAGCTATCATCACTCATCCTCGTTGCCCAATTAATTTTTAAAAAATGACTACAGATCAATGTAAAGAACACTTCAAGAACTTTCTATTTTTCTATATTAAAGAAAGCTCAAATATGTTCTCTTTTCCAGCCAGTTTAGAAAGGCTATACTCTGAGAAACCTTGTATAATACACTAGCACTATTACTAAATTTTAAATGGCTGCCATTTTGATACATAGTCAAAATGGGGAAAATGCATAAAATTATTGTAATTGAATTGCAAGCTTCCTAAAGTGCTTCTAATACAAGTAGTATCCATGGTTTATATACTAACTGATCACATTCTGCAGTCCTTATTCGTCTTCTGGAGTTCAAAAAGAAAATTTAACAGAGATTACTTCAGACTGACAGTACCAGGTGGAGTAAAAAGTAAAAAAAAAAAAAAAAAAAAAAAAAGGGGAGAGGCATGTTCTTGCTTTCAGTGCTAGACTAGAGTTAAGAAATTACTATTATCTGAAACAACTGAAAGGATATTACTTTAAAGTAATGGCAAAGCAACTAAAGCGTTGTCATGCTTTTTGTTTCCTTTAAAAAAAAATTAGCTTTATTTTCAGCTAATTTGACACCAGTAGACATGAATAACTTACAGCACTTTGAAATTCCACAAAAGCCTATCATTTTCTCTCATCTTTAGTGCTTCAAGAACTCCATAAAATTACAGATATGGAAGATCTATTTAAACTAATTCAGACTGATATTAGTATCACATTAAACCTACTAAAAGTTAGTTATTTTTCAAAATCACATTTGCCAAAATATGAGCCAATACAATGGTACTCTAAGAAGTTCCACTTTAAAAATATCACTATTGAAATGCATACTTGGGGTGGGGTGGGGGATTCAATAGAGGATTTTAAGTTCCTGGTGCTTTAATTTAGAATATGAAATCTTCCATACTGTTATGTTAACAGACAGTAAAATCAGACAATTATGGCAGGTAAGGCACTCAGAGATGAAAAATTACTCTAATAGGTTAGGAAAATGAAATAAGATATTTTCAAGACTTCAACAGTTGTAGCAAAGTCAATCCTTTTTTGTTGCTACATATTCAATGACTGACATGCTAGTAGCTACAGACATTCATTCTAAAGTCTTCTCAAAAGGACATAAGGGTGGAAAGAGCCTGTGCTTGGAAATTCATCTATTGATTTCACTCAGCAGGTGACTGTTCAATAAAAGGTAAAATATAGCTTAAAAGATGGATTCTTCCATCCAGGTAGTGAACTGGAAGTTAGTTTATGGGTTTTTGAGCAATGACATTCCAAAGCAACCCATTTCTCCAAAATAAAAGGTTCCCTAAAAAGGAGAAAGGTCCAACTGAGGGCACTTACTCACAAACCCTTGTAACTTCAGCATTTAGGCAGTTTGCTACACTACCAAACCTGCAGTCTCAAAGTACAAAAATAAGATTTTAGCTCTTTAAAGAACATACTCCACAGTTTTCTTGAAATAGGTTGATTTCTGACAGAGTATGAATACCAAACCAGGCAATGAATGACAAACTAAACATTCAGATTCAAGAAAAACATTTATTAACATAATTACATACACGTGAATTATGTCACTACACTCAAACAGAACTACTTACGCAAGAAAACTTAAACATGCTCCTACTGTACGATCAAACTCGCCAGATGACTGTTTTCTCCCTATCTGTAATTAGACCCCACTATTACTTAGTATTTATAGTTAGTATGACCATCTTAAAAATACATTCAATAAAGACTTTAAATATATAGAACTCCCCTGACACCCGTAAATAAAAAGGTTCAACTAACTTAATTTGAAGAGCTGTTGACATAGAACTAAGTAACCTGTTACAAAAAAATTTCCATTTTACATAAATCAGTGTCACCTTATCTCAAGTTCCTGTTGACTATTATAGCACCTTTCAAAAGTACAATTGCTTTTAAATTGTGTAAAACCCATTTAAGTTATCATAATTTAAAAATATTTCAAAACCTAGACTACAGCTTCAGTATAATGTTGACAATACTCATTTTCATCCATAATTACCATAAATTCCTAGAAATTAAGTGCATTTAGTTAAAATAGAGTTTTTCTTTCTCAGTTTTCTTACACAAAATCTTTCTGAACATCTTAACTAATGTTTTTAGCATAATCTGATACAGAATTGCAGATAACTAGAGTGTAGAGAAACCGGATAGGTGCAGTATAGCCTTACAGATTAATAGGCCCGAATTCTGTTCATTCATGTAACTACAGAGACCCTATGAATATAAATTTTTCCTCGCTGTTGACCGAGGTACTTCTAGATTTCCTGGTTTACTCAGCTCTGGGCTGGACCACTTGCCCATCCGCTTGAACATAAGCACAAACTTCTAGCAGCCAAGGACTGATAACTGGAGGGGGCAAAAAACAAAAAGGAATATTCAAACTGCAGCTCCAAAAAGGATCAAATTTGGGGTCACGCTTATCCTTCTCTCTCATACCTGTGGCTTATTTTTTCTCCCCTGGAACATTGTCTTTGAAAGGTCCTGGAGATCAGGAGAGGTGCCC